AGGGGGGTGATCTTCCTCTGACCTTCTGTTGGTATTTGCATTCCTTTATAAAAGGCATCTCTGACCACTTTGGGAATTGTGGGTTCTGTGTGAAGTGAAAATGGTCTCAGATCTCGACACACCCATTGCATTTGGTCTTTGTTGAGTTAGGGTTACCACAACCCTGACCACAAATCAGATTCCTCCATCAGAGGAGGAGATCAGCTCACGAAGGTGGAAGATACTTCCTTTGTCTTACTTCACACATGAAGAGGTTTGCTGCCCCGTCCAGGACATGACCGTCGCCTACATTGGAGGAGTTCAGCCTAAGACTTCTCTACGAGGGGCTCTACCGGGGGTCCCCCTTTAGGACTTCACTACTGCGGCAGCTCTGAAACCTCCACGGGGATTGTGTCATGTGACCTGGGTCACAAGTCTGGGAATGCCGCCCTTTTTCTCTTTGCCAAGTTCTGTGCCGGTGAGGAAGTCTGAGCAAATTTTTCGTACTCTAATGTAGTCTAAACCAACCCCCCCTTCCCCCTCCCCTAAGGCGGCCTACACCCGTCTTTACATACTTCCTATAGACTTGAATGGAGCTATAGAAGTTACTAAGCAGACATCGCTGAGCAGATTATTTAACATCACAGGACACCATGCAAGCTAAGACGGTAAGGGTCAACCCCGAGGAGCTGAGGGTCAACCCCGAGGAGCTGAGGGTCAACCCCGAGGAGCTGAGGGTCAACCCCGAGGAGCTGAGGGTCAACCCCGAGGAGCTGAGGGTCAACCCCGAGGAGCTGAGGGTCAACCCCGAGGAGCTGAGGGTCAACCCCGAGGAGCTGAGGGTCAACCCCAGAGGGTCAACCCCGGGGGAGGGTGGGGGCAACCCCGGAGGAGGTGAGGGTCAACCCCGGAGGAGGTGAGGGTCAACCCCGGAGGAGGTGAGGGGGGCAGAGGGTGGAGATTATCATCAATACGATAAAGTGAATGTCAAGACCATGGAGTGAGGGAGGATTACAACTCCCATCATGTATTCACTGCTATCCAGAACTCCATTACAAAGATTTATCCCTCACTTCCTGTCCTGCTGCCAAACTTATTCACCAGACAGGAAGTGAGGGAAATCTGCAACAGGAACAAAGACAGAAATACAAATCTGAAAGGGGTTCTCAGCCGTAAGGTTAGCGTTCCCTAAAGTACAGAAATGGAGAGGAATCCCGCTAATGGAGAGAACCAAAACCTGGATAAGGACATTATGAAAACACTCCGTCCTTGTCCACATCATGTCCATAGAACGGCATTTGTCTGGTCACCGCCGCACACGTATGGTGTAAACAGAGCACACAGGAAACAATTGTATTCAGTCTGCACTGCTCACACCATACATGTGCCGAGGTGTGCCGGAAAACGCAGTTCAACAAACATGGTGTGAACAAGCCCTGAAAGCGTGGCCCTCACCAAGAGGGACCTTCCAATACACACAAAGCTTGATGTCCCACCTCAAAGCTCCTCTAGTACTACATATAACCCTTGCAGCCCAACCCTCAAACCTCACAGCCCAACCCTCAAACCTCACAGCCCAACCCTCAAACCTCACAGCCCAACCCTCACAGCCCAACCCTCACAGCCCAACCCTCACAGCCCAACCCTCACAGCCCAACCCTCACAGCCCAACCCAAAAACCTCACAGCCCAACCCAAAAACCTCACAGCCCAACCCAAAAACCTCACAGCCCAACCCAAAAACCTCACAGCCCAACCCAAAAACCTCACAGCCCAACCCAAAAACCTCACAGCCCAACCCAAAAACCTCACAGCCCAACCCAAAAACCTCACAGCCCAACCCAAAAACCTCACAGCCCAACCCAAAAACCTCACAGCCCAACCCAAAAACCTCACAGCCCAACCCAAAAACCTGAACCGAACCCTCAACCTCATAACCTATCCCTTAGCTTGAACCTAACCTTCAACCTCACAGCCTAAACCTCAACCTGCATCTAACTATCAACCTCACAGCCTAACCCATAGTCTGAACCTAACCTTCAAATCACAAAACGTAACCCTTGACCGAACGCTCAACCTCACAACCTAACCCTTAGCCTTCACCTACCCTCAACCTGAAAATGGAACCCTTAACGTTAATCTCAGGTAGAAATGATGGCATCATAAAGATAACTATTAGTTTGGGGATACCAGTGGAAACAACAACATTGAAATGTCTCACCTCTCCAAACTGCATGTATATATACTCCCGGGCCTTCTGGTGAAGTTCTAGACAACTAATTTGCTCGGCAAAAGTGGCGATGCCAATGGCATTACTGGGGTCCAGTTGCTGGATTAGAAAGTCGCAGCACGCTTTGACCACGCTGTCCATCTGATACATGACGGCTCCATTCATGACATGGATGACGCACTTCTCCCCCACAGAGATGTTGGCTGTGTAGGCGAACTCCAGCAAGCGCTCCATGACTTTGGGGTGAATCCCTTCAATGGTGACCGTCTCCATGCCGCACTCCCGAAGCCCGTTGGTAAACATGGCCCTAAAGACGGGGCTGCTGGAAGCCAGGACAATTTTATGGGCCACAAAATCTGCCTGCAAGTCATTGTACTTGACCTTCAGCGTGACATCACAGAGCTGCTGTCCCAGCCGCAGCTCGTTCATGATCTGGAAGGCCTGGTTGGTGTGATCCGCCAGGGAGTAGTGGAATTGGCGGTTCCCATTGTTGTGAGATGGCGTGACTTCAGCCTGGCACTCGGTGGCATACATCCCCGGCACACGTCCAGACAACCTTCAGCTGCACATCGCCCAAGAGACCGCAAGAGGAAATTCCCCAATAAATAAGCCGGAACCTCCCCCGAAGTGCAAAAAAATAAAATCTCCCTCTAGAAAAAGAAACTTTTCTGGAAATATTTTAGGAAACACCGAAATCTCTTCACGGTTCAGACGATCCCGGAACCCCGAATGGTGGAAGGATTACAAAACGTGACCCAGTCCGAGTCTCTTCAACAGTCCCGGAAGAAGAAGCTTTCGTTGTATTGGTGCTGAAGGTGTAAATCTGAGAATGACGTCCATGGTGGGGACCCAGAAATGTCCAAAACAACCAAATTCAATAGAAGTTACTCCATGCGGCTCCCGAAGAGTCCAGCTAAAGAGGATCCAAGAAGACCACGTCTAGTTCATTTCTGGTTGGGTACCTGCGGACGAAGAAACACGTGTTAGTGGTGGAAACTCCCAGAATGAAGGTTCATCCCGTGTCATGAAACCAAACCAACGGAACCACCAAATTCAATAGAAGTTACTCCATGCGGCTCCCGAAGAGTCCAGCTAAAGAGGATCCAAGAAGACCACGTCTAGTTCATTTCTGGTTGGGTACCTGCGGACGAAGAAACACGTGTTAGTGGTGGAAACTCCCAGAATGAAGGTTCATCCCGTGTCATGAAACCAAACCAACGGAACCCCA